GGCTGGGATTGGAGCACGGGCTGGGAATGGAGCCTGGGATGGGAATGCAGCACGGGCTGGGATTGGAGCCCGGGCTGGGAATGCAGCACGAGGTGGCAGCGCAGCACCCGAGCGCGGACACAATCCCGGCGGGATCCGGCACCGCCCCGAGCTCTGGCACGGGAGGTGACACCGGGCACAGAGCTCCGGCACGGAGAGCAGGGCACGGCACAGCACGGAGCACCAGCACGGGCCAGGGCCAGACTGCCCTGGCACAGCACGGAGAGCAGCACCAGCACAGAACACCAGCATGGCACGGAACGGTGGCACAGCACGGAGCAGGATGGCAGAGCCAGACCGCCCTGGCACAAGCAGGAGCAGCAGGAGCAGCACCAGCACAGGACACCAGCACGGCACGGAGCAGGATGGCAGAGCCAGACCACCCTGGCACGGCGGGAGCAGCAGGAGCAGCACCAGCACAGAGCTCTGGCACGGCACAGGGCACTGGCACAGAGCTCTGGCACGGCACAGAACACTGGCACAGGGCACTGGCACAGGGCACAGAACACTGGCACAGAACACTGGCACAGGGCACTGGCACAGGGCACAGAACACTGGCACAGAGCTCTGGCACGGCACAGAACACTGGCACAGGGCACTGGCACAACCAGCACACAGCAGCAAGTTTCCAGTTGCAAGAGCCAGTTTCCCTTGGCACGGCGGGAGCGGCGGGAGCAGCGCTGGCACCGGGGCAGTGGCACAGGGCAGGGTGACACAGCCACTGTCCCCCGTGGCACGGGACGGGCAGATGGGGCAGCACCAGCAGGGAACAGCAGCACGGAACGCTGGCATCACTCCCAGCACGATGCCAGAGCCGGCTCTCCCCTGGCACAGCGGGAGCAGCACCGGCACAGAACGCTGGCACAGAGCAGAGCACGTGCCAGAGGGAGTTTTCCCCTGGCACAGCAGGAGCAGATGAGCAGCACTGGCACAGCACAGAGCAGGATTCCAGGGCTGGTTTTCCCTGGCACAGCAGGAGCAGCACCAGCACAAAACGCTGGCACAGAGCAGAGCACCAGCACAGCACAGAGCAGGAGGTCAGAGCCAGTTTTCCCTGGCACAGAGGGAGCAGCACCGGCACAGAACGCTGGCA